CTGGGGAATTCTGGGAGTTGAAGTCCACCCATCTTAAAGTTGCTAAGGTTGAGAAACCCTGTTTAGCAGTATTATTGGGGACAAAGCCATGTACAGTTCTAGTATTCAGAATTCTTGTGAGAGTTTATAGAAACTTTTACTACTGCTACTACGATTTTTATATTACATTGTTCTATAATATCTACTCTGTTGGGTGAACCATATCCTGATCAAAATGACAGAGCCATATGTAAACCATATTTTTGTCAACAATTGTTTCCTGCTATAAGCTACTGGTTTTTATTATCAACTTATCTATGCCTATTTCTGCATAATGGGTTTTTTTTTTTCCTTCTTGCAGCTATGGGAAACATACTAGATTCTTTCTGACTTACTGATGTGGTCAAAACACTGCTCAGAGAATTCTGAAATGCTAAGGCACTGCTGATGGCATTGAAAATAGTATAAGATGGTAGCCATCAGAATCTCGTACTTTAAGAAGGGATTTATTTAAACAAAAGATGTAAATACAGTTAATATACTTACTGCTTACTTAATATTCCTGAATGAAAGCATCAAAAAAGGTAGAATACTGAAAGAAATTTATGCATGTTTTGTTTAACTGAAGTAAACTTTCATGTAATATCTTTAGTTTTGTTCAGATATGAAAATTCCAGTAGTGAATCGAGAAGCCCATTAAAAAGCTACAGTCCTTAGGAAAGAAAGAGTCCAGTGACATAAGAATATTGAACAAACTGAAGATGCTGTATATTCACACACACTCTCTTCAGTATCTTCAGAGCAGGAGCAGTTCTTGTCATGAATGATACTCTTTGAGTAAGCAGGCCTTTCTTTGCTACACCGTTTGAATTTTATGTGCTTATCTGTCATGCAAGAATAGAAATCTCCCTAAAATAATTCCCAGGTTCAACAGCCTGCTGTAATAATTAGGGTTTAGTTAATAGAAGGCATCCTTCTGGATTAGAACCTTAAATCCTGAGTTGCAGAAATGTGCTATATTCAACATTTATTTCTTTTATTTTTTAGTTCATTCCCGTTCCTTGCATTTGTATCAAGATTCTCTATTAACTGATTTTCTTTTGCTTTGTACTCTTAGAGAGAGTGTCAGTTACCAAGTCTGTTATGCTGTCTTTCATATTCATATTAGCAAACAAATAGAAAGTAATTAGAAACTATATTATTATATAGGTGAGGTATGTTTCTTTGTGTGAAACATTTTTTTTTAATTGGATGGGTAGGTTTAAAGAATAAGCATATGAAACACATTAAAATCACTATACTTTTAAGTGGATGAATGTTTATTGATGTAACTTTATCTGTTTTCTTTTTTAGGAAAATGGTGTAGCAAATGGAACTATCTATAAAAGACCTTTTAATGAATCCTTTGAACAACCACCCATGTACATTGCTGTGCTTACATTTCTTGGTTTTGTATTTGCAAGTTTATTTGGGTACTTGGGAGATTTCTTAAGAGCCTATGGATTACAAAAAAGCATTGGCCCAAGAGAACGGGAAGAGCAAAAGGTATGTAGGGCTTGAAACTGTATGAATAGTCCCAGTTACTTCTCAAGAAGTCCAACAAAGACAAAAAGACAGAATCAAGTTGACAATAAAGGATTTCTTTGCAAATGTGTACATTGGGCCTATTACAGTATTTCTCCTATGTATGGCTTGGACAAAATGAACAGTAAAAATATGTGAATATGGAGTATTTGCTGACAGTGGTAGCTGCCATTATAGAATTTTGTTTCTTTCAATATTGCCACAAGTTCTAAAAAAAGCACAGCACCTGTTAGAAATTTAGGATTAACACTCATCAGCCCAAGCCTGTATGTTGCTAATCAGAAAGACAACAGTTATAATACAAAACTTTCTAAAAGCTGATCTGAGTAGCCCCTTAAATGCAATTAATAGGAAGCGGCACATTTGCCATGTTTTCATGTCTTGCTCTTCAGTAGTTTAACTGCTAAACTACAGATTAGCAAAATATGAGTATTTATTTGCTCATCACAGTTTTGGGGTGTTATACACAAAGACAAGCTGCACCAATTCCTTTAAGACACACACATTCCTCTGTCTCAAATATTTACCTCCTATACGGTTGGGAGGAAGGGGATCAAAATGTTTGCTTCCACATCTCAACCAAGAATTGTGATGAACTCAGAGTGACTTTTTAAAAACTTCTTGACCTTCTCCTGAGTCCAGCTGCACCCCACCCCACCCCACCTATCTAGCTGCCCAGAGTAAACAAGTAGGACATAAGCCCAGGTCACAGGTGACAGATCTCAAAGTACAGAGAACCCTTTCCAGTTCCTCAGAATCCACAAGATCAAATATATATCAGATGGCCTCACAGAATATAAGTCTGATCATCTCATTAGATTCTGTCCAAGCAGGATTTACTACTGGGCAAATACGCATGGATATTCATAGATTGTTAGTTTGCTAATGGCTTAGTTACACATCCATATTAACTGCTATTACAAGAGTTTTAATATTTCCCATAATATTTTTTTACAGTAAAGACAGGTCATAATTTTATTTTGAGAATTTCAGTCAATGTAGTAATTTGGTTAAGCAAAAGTATATTTTTGTTGCACAAGTGTTTTCTTCTTTCTTCTCTTGCCTCCAAAAATGTAAGTCCTGAGCAACTGCATGTTTTTTTTTATTTACTTAGGCGATTCCAATCTACCAATATATATATCTCCCCAATATGTAATTGGGATTATAACCATACAATTAATTTAAAAACAGTAATGTTTCTATGGAATCAGGAAACAGAAGTTAAACTATTAACAATAAAAATATGAATGCAATCTCACAACCCAACAGGCAAATACAACAATCCAACCTCCTTGGCCCAGTTTTCACCTGTTTCCTAAGAGCCAGGAAGGAAGGGGATGATTGCACATCAAAAGCAGTGTTATTCCAGAGGAGAGGGCAGTAATAGAAAAGCAATGTTTACATGGGCCTTAAAGGTGACAATTGCTATTTGAGGGGATGCGTAGCAAGCCCACCGTAGTGGATCTTATTGGGCAGGCAGATGTTACAAGGAGAAGGTGGTCCCACAGATACCCAGACCCCAAACTATGAATGGCTTTAAAGGTGACAACTAACATCTTGAATTGCATTCAAAAGCCAACTGGCAATCAGTGCAGCTCTGATAGTACAGAAATTATATGGGTGCCTCAAGATATATGTGTCGCTACCCAAGCCGCTACATTCTGGACCATCTGTAGCTTCTGAATGTTCTTCAGGCAGTCCCATGTAAAAACCCTTGCAATAGTCCAATTGAGAGGTAACTGAGACATGAGTGACAATAAGTAATGCCTGCTATTTCAGGAAAGGTTGCAATTGGTGCACAAGTTGGAGCTGTGCAATGGGCCTCTTTGCCACACTTGTCACTTGCTCCTCAAGGAGTTGTAAATCCAAGAAAATTGTGAATCAGCAACCACACTCAAAGTTTACAATGCACTCTTGCTAAAATTGGCAGACTTCGAAAACCAAGACCACTCTATTTTGCTGAGATTGAGTCTCAGTCTATTCCTCCCTATCCAGACCTCCTTAAGAATGGGCACAAAAAATATATAATATATAGTATTTGTGTGTTTCTTTGTAGGAAATCTACCTTCCCTAAGTATAATTTGTTTTCTGGCAACAATAAACAGACAGGAGGGGAAGTACAGTAATAAAGGAATATTCAATTTGACATTCAGAGTTCAGGGATGGATATTATATTTGTACATTATAAACGCAGGAAAGTAAGAGTATCTTATGTGCAATAGAAAATGCACTATTATATTAATTAGTTTCTTAGTCGTCAAAGCACCTGCTTGATAAAGGAAATGATTATTCCATTGATCTAATGGATTTCTAACTTCACTATAGTAATATTTGGCAGAGGTCACTTTTTAATTTTGCAAAGTGCTTTTCAGCTTGCCTCATTTTGGTAGACATGTAAATACCTACATAAAAATAAAAAGAAGATATAATTCAGGAGTGTTGAGGGTTTTTTATTTATTTATTTATTTATTTATTTAGATACAGAACAATGCTAAGGAAATTCTGTCTGTTGCTGGTTCAGAGCAAATATCTCTTCTACATTATGCAAATTTATCCTCACTTTAAACTATCTAATTTCATTAGTTTTGGTTATAACTTCTTGTTTTTCCCAAAAACCGAATAGTTTTACTGATCCATTTTCAAACAAACATATATAAAATAACGTAAATAAAAATAAACAATTTTTCATACACAAAAGGCAAGAACTCTGTACAAGACAGTACATAAAAACAACAAACCAAAAAAACTTTAACTGTATCCCAAGTTCATCTGATTTTGTAAGTCTTTAAAAGGAAAAACTAAGCTTTCAGTGTTGACCAAGACCATTCAAAATTTTTTCCCAAAGGGAGAAATAATGTGCCATTTTCTGATTAACTGAATATATAATTTTCTCAAAAATGGCTGAATCACACATCTCTGAAATCCAATCTTTTATATCTGGTATTATAGTATTTTTTCATCTGCTATTTTTTTCATTCTTTTTGCTATTGTTAGAAAACCAAAAAACCCATCTTTGTTCTGAACATGTTAAATTTCAAGTAGTTAGTATATAATTCAGTACAATAGACACATCTTTAAAAAACAGAGTTTTCTCAATAACTCTGTCGATGTATTATATAATATTACTCCAAAAGAGGTGTAAGGAAGAACATGACCATAACAATCAGATCAAACCTATATTACAGCCTATGTGTCAGAAAATGACCAAACATACGAGTTAAAGTACCTTCAAATCTCTTGCAATGCCAACCCAAATAATCATTAGTCCATCCTTTACAAAACACTCTAGATGGCATCCAGTGGATACAAAAAACATTTTTTGATGGATTAATTTCAATTTTAAATCACAGGACATAAAATTAGTATTCTTCAAAACTTAAGCTCATTGGTTGAAAAGAACCGGAGTTTCCAATTCTTGATTCCAAGCTTCTTATATATTTGTTATAGTTTGGGTTATAACTTATTATAATGCCAAGTGGTAAGCACAATATCTTAACAAAACATTTTAAAAATTGGGATTTCCCCTTAATTCCAAGCACCAAGGGCAATATCAAATAACAAGGTGTTAAAATACTTCAGAAAGATGTTTAGAATTGGACTTTAGTAGGAAAGAATGCTGCAATCCAAGAGGTCTCAAACTGTAGGTCAGGAACTCACAGCTTTGTTCCTCATTTTGCCTGTGCAAACCTGCAATTCTGATACTGTTAAGTCTGAAATTTTGAGAAGGAGGGAGGGAGGGAGAAATTAAAAAGTAATGATTAAAAGTAAGTGGTTTATTTATATCTTGTCCAGTGTCAATCCCAATGAAATTGTTAGCTTTATTCATGGGCGTGGATGTCATATATTATGTTTATCATTTTAAGGGGTCACAGTTCTGCATAGTTTGAGAAGCCCTGGAAACATTTGTAAAAGCTGTCAACAGCAGTAGGATTTACTTTCAGGGCAATAAGTATTACTGCCTTCCTTCTACTTTATTTTTGCAGTAACCCAGTGAATTAAATTAACCAGTGGCTAATTAGCCTGAGATTGCTCAGCTTTATAGCTAAGTAAGAATTTGAACTCGGGATTTTCATATCCAGGCTTATGTTGCCTTATACTGTATTAATTTCCCAAAAAGATGAAAATGAAAGAATCGAACTAGGGTTGGCTATAAGGAAATCATTACAAGTAACAGTTATTTAATTTTAATAAAAAGTCTACATATGCTAGAAATGTAACACTGCACACTTTTTCTTTCTTTAAAAAAAACTCTAGGATTTTGTTCCACTTTATCAAGACTTTGAACACTTCTTTACAAGAAACCTCTATATGAGAGTAAGAGACAATTGGAACCGCCCTATCTGCAGTGTTCCCGGACCAAAATTTGACCTGATGGAGCGTATTTCAGATGACAACAACTGGACATTTAGGTGGGTCAATCTGGGAAGGAAAGGAAGGAGAGAAGGAAGGAAGGAAGGAAATTTTGCTGAAAATACTTTCCAAATTCGTTTTTAACTAATGTAAATAAAATTGTATTCATTTTTTCTAGAATTTAGGAGCAAAAATGTTATATTTATAGGCCTGACTTCATATCATTTTCAAAGTTAGAACCTACTCCCTTTATGCTCAAGGCCAACAATTAGTGTTGTTGTTGCCTTCTTCCTAGTGAATGGTTGTGTGTCCATTTACCTGGTGAAATTGACATGTGCTGTTGATTTTCATTTTGATCTTCTCCCCAAAACTTAACAATATGTGACCTTTCCATTCTTTTTATTTAAAAAGTTCTTACGGAACAGCAGGACCTTTTATCCCCTTCCTCCTGTCTGTGGCATTTGTACTCCATTATTTTTCCAGGGAAGACAAACAGGTAGAGAAATGTCAAAGGAGATGCTTCTACTCATAAGAATATCTGTATTCAGGTTGAAGTTGTCACAATATTGCACAAGTTTGAAACCTGAGCTACCCCGTATAAATGGCGACTGTGAAAACTCCATGTGTGTGTTTCTATTTTTTTTTCTGATGGTGTACACAATACACTCAGTTCTCGTTTAGTGACCAAGTTCCCTTCCAACAACCATGTTGTTAAGCAAAATGGTCCCTAAGTGAACACATGACTGAATGAGAGAGATGCTGCAAAGATCACTGGTTGTTGCTGTCTCATTCAGATAAAGTTTTCTCGGACAGCTGTGCCAGCATTACTCTCACTCCAGCATCAGGCATACGAAATCTGGTCATAAATATGTGCATTGGTTGGAAAATGATTTCTTTATTACAGTCATATTTGCAAATGGTTGCTAAATGTGGTAGTCACTAAATGAGGAGTGGGTGTATATGAAAAAAGAGGAAGAGATTATGGAAATATAAATTGTAGTCTAAAGCTGGAAGAGGTCGTCTGAAGGACTGTTGGATGTTATATAACGTCTGTGTTCATAGAAAGGGACACATCCAAGCAGACGAGGAGGGATAGTTCAAGAGATCTTCCAATTGCAGCAGATGAAGTGTTACCACCATTTGGGCCACTGGTTCCTGTCTGATTTATCCCATTGTTGCCACTCAGGTTCAATTCAGCTTACTGTGAATGTTTTATTACAAGGCCACTTTAAGCAGGCCACACCGGGGGGTGGGGGCATCTCATAGGTTTAGTAGTGAATGCAGCTCATGTGTGTGGAGGGGTACCTTTTACCACCACACTACTCTTGACTGGAAAAAGGGCATGTTGCAGGTAGACTGAGAATCATTTGAAACTGAAACTCATTCCTAGGTCACATTTTAGACTATCGATTGGCAGGAGGAAGGGCAGGATTAGAGAAATGTGCTGCAGCCCTGGAGCTGGCATAATTATTCTACTTCTCATTGAAATCAATGGAAGGGGGAAAATGTCATTACTCGCTCCCCTGCATATATGCACACACATTTCATCATAACCAGCACAATCAGTTGGTTAGAAAGTTGTGATTCTCTTTTTATATATATAAATATATAATTTTTATTAAATATGTTTTAAATAGAATAAAAACAATACAAATTTTGAATTAAAGAGAAAAAGAATAGAAAAAAGTAATAAAGTAAAAAAGAAACAAAGAAATAGAAATAGAAAAGAAAGAAAAAAGGTAAGTAGCTTCCAATCTTCTTAACAGCAGTTATGAGTACATTTATATTTTATCCTCTCTCTCTAAGGTTATATTATAATTTCCTTCTTTCCATAATCTACCTTTCTAGTCATCAAATCCATAAATCACTAGTTCATTTTTTTCTTTTTTCAGCCAAAGTTCCATAATGGGTTTCCAGTCACTAATAAATGTACTAATTAATCTTTCTCTAAGCAAACAAGTTAATTTTGCCATCTCTGCTAGTTCCATCATCTTCAGTCATTCCTCTGTTGGAGGTATTTCAGAGTCTTTTCGTTTTTGTGCATATAATAGTCTTGCAGCTATGATCATATATAAAAATAATCTTCCATGGCTCTTTTCTAATTGTCTGTCCATTAGTCTCAGCAAAAAAAAAAAAAAAAAAAATGCTGGTATCACTTGAATATTAGTCTTTAAAATTCTTATTATTTGAACCCAAAATTTTCTGGATTTTTTACAAGTCCACCAGGCATGATAAAAGGACCCGTCATGTTGTCCACATTTCCAACATAATTTTGAAGTAACTTTATATATTCTAGATAATTTTTCTGGAGTCATATGTCAACAGTACATCATTTTATAAAAAAAAATTTTTTTAATTATAACATAGAGTGAATTTCAATCCTTTCAACCACGTGTTTTCCCACTGTTCCAACAATATGTTATAGCCAAAGCCCATTTTATCATATACTCTTTCACTAGTTCTTCCTCCATTTCAAATTTCAGAAAAAGTTTATACATTTTAGCAATTACATGTTCACCATTTGTACATATTTCAACTTCAAATTCTGTCTTCTGCTGCTCAGTTCCAAATGTCCTATTGTCTACTTTAAATCTTTCTCTTAATTGTGCATACGAAAACCATTGAAAACTTAAATCCCTCTGTAGCCAGTTGTTCTCTTGGTTTCATCTTATATTGTCCATGCTTTTGTTCTGACAGCTCTCAATAGATTAGACATTTCTCTTTACCTGCTGCTTCTTTCCTATAAAATGCTTCTTGTGCTGAGACATATAAAGGTATTTTTGGGCACAGTCTGGGTTTATATAGAAAGTTGTGATTCTCCATACAACTTCTTTCTTGTTTTTCTGAAAGGTAAGATAAAGTAAACCTTTATTGTGGTCTTTGACTAACATGTGTACATATACATATATATACATAAAATACATTAAATATACATTTTAAAAATTGCAATTAAAAGAAGTTAAAGAGGAAGAAAGGGAAGGGAGGGGGGAAATTTTAAAAGTATTAAAGAAATGCAATTTTATTGGACAATATTTGTTGCCTCACCTTTTCCTGAAAAGAAAAACCCCTTTCAGCCTTGGCTTTGCCTTAGAAGACAAGGCTACCTGAGTTGATTCAAGGAAGGAGGATTCCACAGTCCCCTGAAATTAGCTGAGTTTCAAAATGGATTTGGTTAGTTCAAAAGAATTTTAGCAATGATCAAATATATTGTTATTTCCTTGGCTATTATAGGTTCACTGGAAGGACAATCAAGAATGTAATCAATATGGGTTCATATAATTACCTTGGCTTTGCAGAAACTGAACATAATGCTTTGAAAACTGTGGACTCAGTGTTATATAAATATGGCACAGGCGTATGTAGCACCAGGCAAGAAATGGGTAAGTAGAAATTATTATTATTTTGGTGGTTGGGCACACAGTCAGCCAGATGTTTAGACTGGATTTGGCATTTTTCCACCTATCAAGTCCTTCCCAAGGACCTGGGATAGGCATATGTTGTTTGATAGTGTTAAAGGTATCATCGCAGGATATAAGCTGTTCCAAGCAAAGATGCCTTTTGCAATTGACTGATGGTGATTTTGTCAGTGCCGATGGTCTTCAAGTGGTTCTTCAGATGTTTTGGGATTGTACCCAAGGCACCGATTACTATTGGTACTATCTTTGTTTCTTTTGCCACAGTCGTTCTATTTCTATTTGCAGGTCTTTGTATTTTGTGATTTTCTCCAGTTCTTTCTCTTCTGTTCTGCTGTCTCCATGTATTGCAGTGTCCACAATCCAGACTTTTTTGTCTTTCTTATCAACAATTGTTAAGTCTGGAGAGTTGTGTGGCAGGTGCTTGTCTCTTTGAATTCTAAAGTCCCAGAGCACTTTAGCGTCTTCATTTTCTATTC